ATTTCTTGAGAGTTTAATAGAGCCTTTCCCTGCAATAGATGAGAAACTACCGTCTGCAATTTGAATTTTTTTATTACCAGAACAAGGAAAATATGTAGTGAATAAGTGTGTGACACTGGTCATGTGATCGGTAGCTCCTTAATCAATGATCCAAGGAGCAGAATTGAAACTTGTGCAATAAGAAAAAACGCTAAAATCACTACCTGTTTGGGCCAAGGAAACATTAGGAGTACCAGAGGATGAATTAGATTTTAGCAGTTTCAAGAGGAAATCAATTTGCTCTTTGCTGAATGAAGCTTCCAGCAAGTTTCTCGGGTATGACGTGATTTATTGCAATAATCACACCATGCTCGAGATTTTTCATCAAACCACCGCTGTGTTGGTTGTATGATGACTTGTTTGCAGCTTGATTTCCGGTTGGGGTTTTGGGTTCTTCCGCAGCGAGAGCAGTTGCTTCAGTTGGGTTGTTCACAACCCCTTTTTCCCCAGCATGACATGACGCCTGGTCTCCTCCCTTCCGACTTCCGAGAATACTTCTCCAATGGAGGGAAGAGGCTTTCTTCCAAGGATTCTACCCCTTCATCAAACTCGACGTTAAGACCTGCAAAAAACTTAAAAACTCTACCATTCTCTACAGTTTTCTTGTGATGGTTACAATCCTCCGGACTTTTCCATTAATAATCATTAAACAAGTCTAAGTCCTGCCAAAGACCCTTAAAGATATTAAAATATCTGGTCACACTCCCTTCTCCTTGTCGAGTCTCTTCAATCTTCTGTTGGAGTTCAAACATTTGTAAATAATTTCCAAGGTCTGAATACATTTCAACCACACTATCCCACAATTCTTTTGCAGTGGAATAGCACATGTAATTTGCACTGATTTCCTCGTCCATGGAGTTCACCAACCAGGCCATAATCATAGAGTTTTCTGCATTCCACGTTGCATATGCCGGATCAGTATTCTTAGGAGGTTGAGTTTCACCTGTCAAGTAACCTATCTTTCCTCTTTCCCGGATGTACATTTGAACGGATTGGGACCATCACAAGAAATTTCCCTCATTAAGACAAATGATGGTGATTTGCACCGAATGGGAATCATGGTGCAACAGTCGGGTTTGATTGGATTTCGTGGAAGAAATTGAAGAAGATTCAGAGGTTGTTTCGGACATAGTGAATAACAAGGAGAGGAAAAGAAAAAAAAAATGGCAGTGATCATAAAAAAAATTTAGTTATGAAGGCTGAAACGAAGAAGGCCAAATATTGGCTCTGATACCATGAAGAAAGAATGGTTCAAAACTTCTTATTCATCACTGAAATTTACAGTCTATAAATAGCCGAATACAAGGAGGAAGTAAACAGGAAAGAAACATAAAAAACAGGAAAGAATAAAATACATCTAACTTTCCTAATTCACAATCATTGACTAATCTACGCAAGAGAAAGAAGGAAACAAATCTGCCTATTTACATCAAACATAAACCGGAAAGTTGACTAATCTTATGAGAATATTCTGTGTATTTCAACAGAAACATTCTTGGATTTTTATTCTCGAACAAAGATGGGAACAATTTTTTAAGATACACAAAATTAGGATGACCTAGACGATAGTGCCATAACATTATTGCACTATCCTTATTGAATTTTTCAACAAACACATAACTATTATTGGCCTGACTACTTGACTCAACACATACTGCATTATGAGTTTGTCTTCTAGGAGGTTCACCGTCTTTAAGAAGAAAAAGTCCTGAGCACACCTTAGAATTGCCAATCGTCCTCCCCAAAACCAAATCCTGAAATTCACACAAGTCCGAGAAAAATTTAGCAACACAATTATTTTCTTGAGTGAGCTTGCTAACCGACAATAGATTACAGTCCAAGTTTGAAACATGAAGAACTGAATTTAGTATTATGTCCTTTGAAACAATGATAGAACCTGTTCCAGTCACTTTAGATAAAGACCCATCTGCTATTTTTATTGTGTTCCTCGATAGGGATTATATTAGTGGAAAAGTGTTGCATCTCCCGTCATATGGTCAGATGCACCCGAGTCTACAATCCACGAACCTGTTTTACCAGAATTTGCAGTGAAAGCACCTAGATAATTACCTTTGTGTGCCAATGATCTTGTTCCAATGATGCTCTGAGCAAAATTCTGTTGTGAGAACATCTTTTGCAAGGCTTCGAGTTGTTCCTTGCTAAATGGATTGGAATAAGTGGGATTAGTTCCTTCATCCACCGACACATGATTCCCTCAGCTTTCTTTGTCACGAGGAGGTCTTGAAGACTTCCAATCTGCAGGTTTTTCGTGGATCTTCCAACAAGTCTCTCGGGTGTGCCCTGGTCTCCGGCAATGATCACACTGTGGTCTCTCCTTCTTAGGCCGATTGTCATAGTTGTTGTTTTGGAATCCTCGAACAGCAAGGGCAAAACTCTCTGTGACAAGAACAACGACAGGAACATAAGGCTCTCCCATCATCACTTTCTTCCTGCTTGATTCATGGCGCACTTCGGAGAAGACTACTCCAATATTTGGCAAAGGCTTTGTTCCCAATATGCGCCCTCAAACATCATCTAGGCTTTTGTTGAGTCCCATTAAGAACATAAGTATTCTCTTCCTTTCAACAAATTCTCTGAATTTTTTCGCATTATCGGAGCAACTTCATTCATGTTATTTAAAAGCATCCAGTTGTTGCCAGTGTCGAGTGAGGATGTTGTAGTATTGAGTGACGGATAAATCTCATTGTTTGAGATCCTAGAGAGCGGCTTCAATTTGAAAAATTTCAGAAGTATTTTCTTTCTTTGAATAAACTTCCTTAGCTGTATTCCAGATTTCATTAGCCGATTTATAGAGCAAGAAATTTTCACCTATCTCGTTTGTCATAGAATTGACCAACCAAGACATAATATTATTTTCAGTCTTCTAGAGTTTAAATTTTGGATCTTCAGCCTTCAGAGGAGTGACTTCACCGGTGAGATACTCATCTTTTCCCTTTCCGCAGATGTACATCATGACTGACTGAGACCACTGGAGGTAATTGCTCCCATTTAGTTTGTCCTGTTATGTGAAGTGGAACACTGTCAGTTCTGCCATGGTTGCTGGTGATGGGGATTTCAGAACTAGAAGTAACTTCTGATGAGGATGGGGTTTGTTTTTCCGTGGCCATTCCGTATTTGGTCATTGAAGGGATAGTTTTAAACACTGCCTCAAAGATGATTGAGAAGTACTCGGGCAGAGGATATTGAGGAAAGAATAGTCTCCTAATAAGACTGTGAGAATATGGGAATAAAAGAGAGAACCCTGCCGTGAGAATGGGCCTGTGAATGGCAGTCAGTCAGTCTTGCCGAGTGAACAAGGACGGATAATGGCAGTATGGTTTGAAGGAATTCCCAGAGAGAGCCTAGAGCTCTGATACCATGTGAGTTTTTGAGAAAGGAATTTTTATATTTCTCATTGATAATTTTGACTAATTGTACAGCCTTAAATAATAAGGGAGGAAGGACTCTTATCCCGAAAACAAGCAACCAAAAAAGGAAAAAATACAAAACAGGGAATCGGTAAATAAAACCAATATCCCTCTTATTCTAGGAAACAAATAAATCTAATTATAACTAATTCCTAGGAATCGGGTAATAGCCAATTCCTAGAAATCAGACATTAAATCATAGATTTCCACAATAAGTATTGAAGAGATCAAGGTCTACAATCTTTCCAAAGAATTGAAATATTTGGTGACAGAATCTTCCCCTTGTTGAATCTCTCCCAATTTCAGAGTTATCTCAAAAACCTGAGATTGATTTCCCAAGTCAGAGTACATCTCACTAACATTATCCCGTAATTCTTTTGTTGTGGGATAGCACATGTACTTAGAGCTAATATCCTCATCCATGGAATTGACCAACCATGGAGTTCTTTGTGTCCCAAGTAGCATATGATGGATCATCAACTGCAGGCGCCTTCTTGTCCCCGGTGATGTAATTGATTTTTCCTTGTCCCTGAATTACATCCGGACAGATTGAGACCAACGGAGAAAATTATCACCAATTAGACGAATAGTGGTGATTTGGACCGAATGAGTGCTGGGATGGCTGGAATGGTTCGGTTGGGTTTCTGGGGTTTTCTTTGGAGCGGCGGTAGCAGGGCTTGTGATAGCTTCCGATGTGACCTCAGACATGGCTACATTTGGACGGACAAAAGGAAAGTTTTTAGGGTTCCGGACACGTTCTCTGATACCAACTTAGAAGGTATGAAGAAATTGTGTCTGAAATAATCTTATTAAATGAGTAAAATGCCCTCTTTAGGCAAGAGGAATTACATGGAATTACACAAAAAAGGAAAGGAATAAAATAAAATATTGACAGTTTCCTAATTCCTAATCTTCTATATTGACTTTGCATATTTACATTAGATACACATCCTATATACTTCTAGGATCATGACTAAATCGGGATAAAATCCCTAATTGACTCCTCTGCCTACACTAGGATAATTAGAAGTATGTTTCTCTTTTATTTTAGGAAAGAATCACCGGGATTTCTCCTTGAGTGGTTAGGGTCTTTGATTCTTCTTTATTTAAAGAGAGAGAATGATTGTAAAAAGTGTGTCACATGAAATAAAACAATTTCATCTTTTCTCCCAAATACCTTTAATTTTATAGAATTATTATTATTATTCTTTATTTTTTTGATAAGAAACTGAATATTTCATTAAACATGAAAAGAAAATAAGCGTGCAACAATGGATGAGAGATCAACCGAAGATACAAAGAACAACAAAGAAACTACAAAAATTACAAATAGTAACAACATATAAAGCTAAACATCTCTATTCTCTAGCGCAAAGCATAAGCCCAATTCAACATGATTAGAGAGAGCGGGAAGTCTTTAAAAGCTGCATCTGAATATTTATATTATTACTTTTAGATCGGAATTTTGAATACTTTCTTGACTCTTTTTATATGACCATGTGATATTAGTTTCTTCTTTTACCTACTTTACAGCTTCGTGAAAGCATTTCTCATGATCAACAAAGAGCGGAATCCATGAAAAGTGAGATGCAGGAGTTGGAAGGAAGTATACAGGATTTGGATGCTAAAATTCTTCACACTGAAGAGACATTGAAAGAGCTAAGGAAGTTGCAGCAACAGATATCAACTAAGACTGCTGAAAGAAGCACCTTATTTGAGGAACAAGTGAGACGACATGACGCCCTTGAAGAGGAGAATGAAGGTCAATAGATGCTTATCAGTAGTCAAAATATTCTTCTAAATTCTTTCGTTTAGTTTTCTCTGTTCTCCCAGACTGCCATTATTCTGCTAGTCCTTTCTTCTGCATATGTTTTTAGACTTTCTAAGACCTATGCCCTTTTCGTCCTTTTTTTGGACAGACACTGATGAAGAACTGGACGAATGGAAGACTAAGTTTGAAGAAAGGATTTTACTTCTAGAAGTTAAAATCAAAAAGTTGGAAAGGGAAATGAATGACATAGAAACTAAAAGTTCTTCACTCAACCAGTCAATCAAAGACTCTATTCGGGATATCAGCAAGCTTCAAACTGAAGTTGAAGTAAAGCTTTTGATATCTAGTTTGGATTCTAGAAAACATTTAATTTTAGTGAAAAATGATTATATTTTGATCTTTTCCTTTTTAACTTCAGGCTTATATGTCCTTGAAGAACGAACGAGATTCTACAATTAAAAATCTTTTCACAAGGCATAATTTAGGTCCTTTTCCAAATCCTCCTTTTAGCAATGAAGTAGCTTTGAACCTCACAGACAGAGTAAAGTCAAGGGTGATGGATCTTGAAAAGGATTTACAAGACAAGAAGGTGAATTCTTTTGATATTTACTTTTGAATAATTACACGTTCAGGATGTAGTACGTAATCATGCCTTTCTATGTCTGTGGATATATATGCTTTCCTTTCATGTCATTCATGTCCTATGTCCTTAAATTTGAAGCTTCTCTAAAGTCAATGATAGAAATTGCCTCAAAGTCACTTAATCCTCAAGTTTTAAGTCAACCTATATTTATTTGTTGCCGATGAGCCATCTTTATTTATGTCAATGAGAAGTATTCACAACAAAGAATGTGTATTCAGAAATCAAATGAAATCAAGCTAAAGACAGCATGGGATCACTACATAGATGCAAATGATCGTTGGAAAAATATGGAGGCTCAAAAGAAGGCTAAATTAGAAATAAAGGTTCGTGTATTGATTATTTAAGATGTGTTATAGTTAACTTTTAATTGCCTATCATCTAATGCTCTAAGGACTTCATATTTTTCATTTATGCAGAGTGGCCTTCTCAAACGTATTGAAGAGAAAGAAAATGAGCGTGAGTCATTTGAACTTGAAATTTCAAAGGTTGATCTTGGCATTGATGACAGAGAAAAAAACATGGTGAGAATGACTCTTCCTAGTAATTGTAAACAGGTTGCACTTTCTTTGTGTTGATTGATGATAAATATATCAAGTAATTCTTTTTTTTCGCGTCTTTTTCTTGACATTACAGGAAATTGAGGTGGAAAGAAAAACAAACCAGCTTGCTGAAAGAGAATTTGAAATGATTATACGCCAAAAACAGATTGAATTGTATAGCATAGAGCAAAAGATTAAGGATCTTAATCGTGAGAAAGATATCATGGCTAGTGATTCTGAGGACAGAGTCAAGCTGTCTTTGAAGAAGGCAGAACTGGAGAAGCACAAAAAGAAGCATAGAAAGATGTCAGTCAATTCCCCTGTGTGTAGTCAGTTTTTCTTATGTTTTTGCAGCTGATGATGTTTCTTATTTCTTCCCCTTTTTTATCAGACTAGATGAGTACAGAGAAAAAATAAGAGGAGTACTAAAAGGAAGGCTTCCTCCAGACAAGGACTTGAAAAGGGAAATTACTCATGCCATGAGGTTGTTTGAATATCTTTATGTATTCTCATTTCTACAAGCCCCATTGGTTAAATGTTGGCCTGTGTTGAGAAAAGTTCTATATGGTTGGAAGTTTGATATGCATTTTCATTGCTTATATCATATTATATTGCTGTGATATGCCAAAAAAGGCTTTAGAATCAGTGATGCAGTGCCTAAAGTTGTTGCTTTTTGTGTCGGCTCTTATAGCATTTTCCTTTTGATGCTCAGCTATCTTCATCATCATATTGTAATAAATTGCTAATTTATGTCCTTATGATCTCATTATTACAAATTTCTGCGCGCAGCCAGGTTATTTTCTTATAGATTCTGCTTTTCTTTTTAACTAATCAAAGAAAACGCAGTTTTGGCTGTCAGCTTAACCCTGCATTTCTCTTATTTGAAGTTAGAGATTTGGGGTGCTTCAAGCTTCTTGTTTTACGTTCTCATTCTTTGGAATCCTTTCAAAAGATCATTTTGATGGGAAAATTATTCTTTTAACTGTTTTTTTATACTGTATTACTTGCTTTTGCTCCTTAGGTAATAAATTAAGCCAACCAACTGTGAGTTAGTCACCTGAATTTGTTTCATTGTTCTGTGAACTTCTGTAGTTTTACAATCTGGGGTTGATTTGAAATTCTTGTAGTTTTCTAGCACACTTTTAAGAAACCACCCTTGGTGTTGCTGATACTATGCTTGGTGCAGGTCTGTTACAATGGAGTTTGATGACTTGAACAATAAATCTCGAGAGGCAGACAAGGAGGTGAATATGTTGCAGATGAAAATTCAAGAAGTTAATAATAACATCTCCAAACTTCAAAAAGATATGGACTGTAAGTTTATTTTAGATCAGAAGAGGATTATTGAAAAGTTAGTTTATTGATAACTGCAGAAGTCGTGTTCCTCCCTGATTCTGGTTCTGCTGTGACAGAGTCTCTAAGCATGAACTACGTGTATCGCAGTAGTACTGTTTGTCCACATATGTGAATATGTGGTAGAGTAAACCTTTCATATTCCATGAGGTATATTTGAGCAAAATAATCTTATAAGGCATCAATCTTTTGGGGCCATTATTCATTTATTGCAGAATTGATGGTTTAGTTGGTTCTACTTCATGTTGTAGATTCTATAGGAATCCGATGCTCATCTGTTGCAACCCTATGCCTATAGTTTTGATTAAACTTGCAAAATTTTCACTACTGATTTGCAATTATTTTACACCTAACAAATACTTCACTGACATATAGGAAGTCGGTAATCTGCTAGGCATATCCAAGTCAAAGATCATTAATGCGTATTAGCTTAAGGCTAGCTCTCATTGTTAGTCCTGCTTGAGATTACCCAAATGCAAGGTTTGTGCAAAGCAAAGACAAATGGGCCTTACCAAGATATAGAGACCTACCATGAAAAACACAGTTTGTCCTAATAACTGTCAATTTTTTATGTCTAATACCTGGGTCCTAAATTAACTTAAAACCAAAAAAGTGTGGGGGAGGAATTGTGGATTCGGTTTCTTATAACTGCTTTAAACACAAGATTAGAATTGGTTCAGATTCGGGCCTTCATAACTCAGCTATTTCTTCATTTTACATTAGCGGTGGTGGAAGTACTACGTCATGGAATTTTCATTTTAGGAGGGAGCCTAGTGAGAGGGAATTAGGAGAATTATTGGAGCTATTGGGTTGTTTAGAGGGTACAAGGTTGAGCGAGCTCATTTGCGATAGGTGGGTGTGGAATCTGGAGGGGTCGGGGCTGTTTTCTTATAAACCCTTCTTTAAATTCCTCATTGATGATCAACCCTTTCCTGTCTTTATCCTGCGTCCTTCTATTTGGAGTGTCTCAGTTCCTGTTAAAATACAATTTTAATTGGCTGCTTGTGTCAAATAAAACACTCAGGATTTGTTGCAAAGGAAAAATCCATACCTTTATCTTTCTGCCAGTTGGTGCGTTTTATGTAGGAATGTTGTTGAGACAGTGGATGACCTTTTCATCCACTGTTCGTTTTCACTTGGTATTTGGCATCGTGTTTTGCAGGAATTTGGCATTGTGTGGGCAGTTCTTAATAGTCTCAGAGTTTTTCGGATGTGACTTTTTATTTGGAAGAAGATTGTTAAGAGACTGTGGAATGTTGTTGCACTCACTATTTCGTGGCCTTTGTGGCAAGAAAGGAACAATCGTATTTTCGAGGATGTTCGAGGAAACATTAGCGAAGTATGGTATAAGATAATCTAGTGGGTTGCATTGTGGTTGTCTCAATCGAAATATTTTAGTGGGGTCTCATTTTTCGATTTACTTAAGGGATGGGACATTATTTTTTGCTGAGTTTGGGGTTTTGTTTTGTATTTTTTGGCCCTGGGAATGTTTATCATTTTGCTCTTCCTTTCTCCGACTGTTGGTGGACGTCTTGTCCCCTTTTGTGTACTCGTTTTGATTTTTTTCCTTATTTCAATAAAATCTTTCGTTTCTTATCCCAAAAAAAAAAAAAGATTAGAGTTGGTTCAAGGTTCATCATTTCTTTAGGACAAGAGGGGGGTTACATTAAATTTGAGGAGATTAAGAAGAATCGCAGGTTTTTTCTTTCATGTTCCATTGATGCAGCTTTCTAGTTGAGTGACACTCTGGGGAGTATCTGCAGCTCGGAAGTGCGGTAAGGTTTCAAACGAAAGTTCTCCAATTCGTTAGTGACTTTGCTGGCAGAGATTCTATCAAACAACAGGGGTGAGTTTCTAAAGATTATGAAAATTCAAGCAGGGTGGTAAGAAACTTATTTCTCCCAGGAGATAGAACCAAAACTAGTTGGTCTATCTTGTTGACCAAGCTTAATGTGATTTTGGGGAGAGGCTCCAACACTTTACCCTCTTCAGCAAGGTAAAAAGGAGAATTTTATGGAAGCAAGAAGTAACGGGGTTATGGAAGACAAGAGTCGAGTTAGAAGAATGGCAGGTCGAAAAGCTCTACAAAAGCAGTTTCCTCCCAGTAATCATGGTGTTGAGACACTGAGGAAACCTATCCCTGATGAGAATAGGACTGTTGGAGAAGTTAAATCTTGGAGAACGAAAGTGGTAATAGTTAGGAGAAGAGTGACCGTTGACTAGGAATTCGTTAAGAAACTAATTAAGAGTAGATTGGAGCGGTCTATTGAGGTGGTCCCTATGGCAGTAGGTAGAGCCCACGCCTAGTGCAACTAATCAATGTCATCTACCACCTAAACAAAAGGAAAGGGAAGCAGATAACGGTTTTTCAGAAGGTGTGGAGTCATTTAGCAAGGATCGGGCCGACTTAGAAATTGGGCCTTATAATGGTTGGGCTTACTGATAGAGTTTGGATATTGAGCAATTCAAACAAAGTTGGCAAGCATTGGAGGCCCAAAAACAAGTTAGATTTTGTTAGGGCGAAAATTAAAAAAAATGGGAGGATGAAATTCAGAGGACAAATCCCAAAAAACCTGTTGCCGCATTCTTCTAGCGACGGTGACTTGGAGAATCGCAGAAGTAAAATTGATGGATGTAGGGTTGAGAGAGAATCGGACTTCGTCTCAAAAATAGGGCATACAGATGTTGAAGGAGACTTTCTTCCCCATGACGAAGATGAATCGGGAGACGAGAGCAGTTTGCGATCAGTCTCTTCATTTTGCTCAACGGAGGAGTGTGACAGGATGAACGATCGGGAAGGGTTTGTGGGTCTTGAAGAAGTGAGGCTTTTTACTGCACCAGGGAATCCGAAGGATTTAGCTTTAGAGAGCCAAGCGGGTAATAATCTTGAAATCTACCCAAGCGGGTCTTCGTTGCACCGGTTGAGATGGAGGCGAATGAGGGTGGGCTGATGGAGGGAAGCAATTCATAGGCCGATAGGATTGAAGGGGTCCAAAGTTCGGGAAGGGCTGAATTTGTATAGAAGGAGAGAACAAGCTAATTGCAAGGGCGGATCAATTTTATACATTGACTATTGGAGGGAGGAGAGTGGAGTAGAGTAAAAACTGGTCAGTGCTTCAAAATATGCAGCTCCAACTTTCGGTTTCGAAGAAGGGGACTAAGGGAAGTGTTGAAGGGACTGCAAAAATAGCCAAAAGAAGAGGTCAAAACCGGGAATTGAAGAATTTGGACTTTTATATTCGGTATGAGAAGAAGGCTAATGGGGACGTGGATAATTTTTAAAGAAGCTGATGACTTGGAATATCAAAGGAGGGAACTCTCCTTTTAAAAAGGAGGAGTTCGAGAGGTTGTGGGTAAAGAAAAACCCAATATTTTGATTCTACAAGAGGTCAAAAGAAAGGAAGTAGATAGAGGACTTGTGGGTAGTATTTGGCAGTCTAGATTCAATGAATGGGTCCTTCTGCCGGTTGTGGGTCGGTCTGGGGGAATTTTGGTAGTTTTGGGACGTTAGACGAATTAAAGTTGTTGAAAGTTTTTTGGGAGATTTTTCAGTTACTATTAAAGTTGAGGAAGAAGGGGGTTTTTGGTGGTTTATAAGAGTATACAGCCGTATCCACCATAATAAAAGAGAGTTGTTTTGGAATGAGTTAGCAGGGCTTTGGAGTTTGTGGTCAAAGATGGTGCGTTGGAGATTTCAGTGTTACTCGTTTCTTGTCGGAAAAGAGTTGCAGCAGCATTGTCACTAGGAGAGTATGAAGCTGTTCGATGAGCTCATTAAGGATCTGAGGCTGGCTGATATGCCTTTTCATAACGCGAAATTCACCTGGTCTAATTTGACAGGTTTTTGCTTTACAAAGGTTGGATGGAGTTCTTTCCGTTTGGGCGTCAAGAAGCAACTGTCTGAGCAATTTCATATCACTGCCCTGTTCTTTTTCATACAAATCCGCCAACATGGGGCCCCTCCCCCTTTAGATTTGACAATAATTGGTTCGAGAATAAGGAGTTAATTAAACATGAGAAGGGTTGGTGGGAGAAAGAAGAAGTTAGAGGTTGGGATGGTTACTGATGTATGCGGAAGTTGAAGTTCTTGAAAGAAAAAGTAAAAGGTGGAGTGTGGAGGTGGTCGAGGCTAAACGAGTGGAGAAGAGGAAAACCTTAAAGAGAATCGAGGAGATTGATTGAAAGGAAGGGAGCTCCAAGTGGTCTACCGTTTTGCAATTGGTGTGGAAGGAATTAAAACACCGATTTTTCCGCTTAATAGAGGAGGATAGAGTTGTGAGATTGAAGTGCAAATCTATTTGGGCACGAGAGAGAGATGCAAATTCCAAACTTTTCCATTGTTTACTAAATGGGAGGAGAACCAGGGATACCATTTCAAAATTGGAAATGGAAGATGGGAGTTTTCATGGAGGATGAGGAGGAAATTACGAAGAGGATAGTCGAATTTTATGAAAAATTATGAATCGTTGGGTGGGGAATTTTCTAGAGTTGAAGGTTTAGATTGGAGTCTAATTTCTACACACGTTGCGAAATCTCTAGGGAAGCCTTTCGAAGAGGACGAAATCAAGAGAGCAATTTTCAGTTGTGAGGGCAACAAGGCTTCCAGTCTTGATTGGTATGCTATTATTTTTCTACGAGTGTTGGGATTTTATGAAAGGTGATGTGCAGGCAATCAATGAATTTTGGAGGTCTGGGAGTTTTATTAGTATTACCAATGAAACTTATATTTGTTTGATCCCTGAAAAAGTCAATTCTTGCAAAATTAGGGATTTTAAACCCATCAGCTTGGTTACAGGCCTATATGAAATCATATCAAAGGTTTTGTCGAATAGGCTGAAGGGTGTGCTAGAGGAGACAATTTAAGAAGTTCAAGGGGCGTTTTGTGGAAGGGAGGCAGATTTTGGATCTAGTGTTGGTTGCAAATGAGGTAGTGGAAGACTATAGAGCTTCGAAAAGAGAGG